CTAGAGGCCATTTAAAAGCAGATCAGTAAAAGCAACCATTAGTCCATCAAAACTTTGAGCATTATTTTGGCTTATTTATACACTAATTTATTAAATTTTAAAAATCATATACTAACTTGCCAGGATGACATAAAACCAAGAAATCAAGGAGAAGGGGAACCAAGCAAACAATCAAACTTAAGTGCAGTATGAGGATTAAAAGCAACAGTATTTTAAGTGCTATTAAAAGTCTGACTGCATAGGAGTTGTTGTTACTGACTGACTGAAGCAGAAGTAGGCAAAGTGTGGCCCTCCAAATATTGTTGGACTTCCAATTCCAGTAGCTTTAGCCTGCATAGCCAATAGTATGAAATGCTAGAAACTCAAATCAAGCAACATCTGCATGTTTCATAGCCCTGGTCTAAAGCAAATGAAGAAAGAGGCCAATCTAACTTCCCTCAGGTGCGAGTTTCAAGATCATGATGCCACCTCCAAAGAAGCTCTCTGCCTTGAACACTCACCAGCTTTGCTTCTCTAGGTGGTGGGACATAGAACCAGAACTTGGAAAAGTTATTTTTGTGGACTGTTGTTGTTCTTAACTGCCCTCGGGTTGATCCTGACTCATGGCAATCCTATGAATGAGATACGTCCAAGACTTCTGTCCTCCACTGCTCTGCTTAGGTCTTGTAAAGTCATATCAGTGACCTCCTTAATAGAGTCCATCTATTTGGTATGCAGTCTTCCCCTCTTTCTACATCCTCCCACCTTTCCTAGCATTATTGTCATTTCCAATGAGGTGTGCCTTCTCATGATGTTTCCGGCCAAAGTACAACAGCCTCAACTTGATAATCTTGGCTTCCAGGGAGATCAGGCTTGATCTGTTCTAGGGCCCATTTCTTTTTGGTTGTCCACAGTATCCTCAGCACTCTTCTCCAGCACCACATCTCAAATGTGTTGATGCTCTTCATTTCCACTTTCTTCACTGTCCAGCTTTTGTATGCATACATGGTGAAGGGAATACAGTGGCTTAGAAGATTATTACTTTAGTGTCATATGCCTTTTGAAGTAGGCTTGGCTGATTTTTTTAATCAACTGGCAACCTAACATGGAACAACATTTTTTCAGAGACACAATACAGTTTCAGAGGGCCTAAATACCCTAAAGCAGATGTAGGCAACCTTTCCCCTTTAAGGGCCGAGGGACTTCAGCTCCCAGAATCCCAGGAGCTATTGGCCAACATGGGACTATTGGCCAACATGGCTGAGGCTTCTGGGAGCTGAAGTCCCTCGGCCCTTAAAGGGGAAAGGTTGCCTACCCCTGCCCTAAAGGCACAAGATCCCATCTGATCATAGAAGTTAAGCAGAGTCAGTACTTGGATGGGAGACTGCCAACAAATATCAGGTGCTGTAGGCTATATTTCAGAGGAAAGAACTGGCAAAATCATCTCTGAGCATTCCTTGACTATACAATTCATGGGGTCACAAGTTGACAGGCAACTCGAACATGCATATGCACACACAATGCAGTTTCAACAGAGCATTAGAGTGTAGACAGTGGTTGCCATTTTATTTTCCTGAAACATATGTCTCTGCTTGATGAAGAAAGTTCAAAAGGAGACACACGTCAACCGTTAACTTCACTTGTTCCAAGGCAAGATTTTGTTATGTGTGCTTTGACGCCTCTGAGGCATCTTTAATCTATTGTTCTGCTCCAATCATTTTCAAGGCATCCTACTATAAAAGATAAAAACAACTGAACTGTACTTCTCTTCAAAAGAAGGCAGGAGATAGCAAATGGCAGGTATTATTCCTGTCAACTAAATCCCTGCCTTCGTAAATGCAAACAAACTAGAGGTCAAGAACCTCTGCAGCAATGAACTTGTGTGTGCAAGTCAGTTACCACCAAGGGCATTTTCTCTGTCTACAAATAAAGAATGAGTGTTTGTTTCTACAACTTACAGCCTGTTCCTAACCTAGAGGCCTGTATTTGCAGCTAACTTTAACAAATACTGAGAACAGCTAAAGAAACTTTACAAAATACCACATAGACATACACACACACACACTCCCATATACCCTGAAAAAAAAAATCCCACTTTTAAAAAAGGTAAGGCAGGGGAGTAATCATGATTTCCAGTTTCTCCTGTGAGATGGCAGAGATCTATCCTGCGGTATATTCTTCTGTTCTTTGACACAGACAAAGTTATGATTTCCTCAGCATTATGACACAGGATCTAGTGAAATAAGCATGAGAACACTGTTAAACTTTACTTACCACACAATCTCCAGCTCAAATAAGAGCACTATGAGTATGTAGGTAGAGTTTATCTAGGCAACCTTGTCACTCAATTTCAATCAAGCCTTGAATTCAGAGTTGCACAATCTTTAATCTCTGTGAGTTTGAAGGGAAGCTTCTTTGAATTCATTAACCTTTTATTTTCTTGACTCTCGCACTAAGAACTTTGCATTTGGAAACTGAATACTCTCTATCTCTTATGGACTTTTGTACGTGTCACCAGACCTGCAACCATATACATATGTATCAGATAAACCCCAGGGAAGACCTGAGCAGGGCTGTTTATAACAGGGTCTCTCTGAGACATGTCATCCACAGGGTCACCATGAATTGAATCTGAACTGATAACACACAAGAAAAACAAAGGGCCCCCAAAACTGGCTCAGAGTAAACTTGTTAATGATATTACTGAAAAGCTGAGACCATTCATGTTCTTACTTGGAAATAAATGCCATCTAATCATGGGACTTGGTTTGGGGTGACCACATGCAGAACAATACAGGACCTGTCATGTAAGCTATGCTTACAAGAGTTCCTTTTTCTACACAAATATTGAAGATGGAGGACTCATGCCCTCGCTGCATCTGGCCACCCTAATTTTGTTGTTGTGTGCCCTCAAGTTGTTTCTGACTTATTGAGACCCTAAGGCAAATTATCATGGGGTTTCCTTAGCAAGATTGTTCAGCCAGTGAGAAAGCCCTGTCTTGTGTTTCCACTGACTGTACCCGTGAAGGTAATGGGACTTAAAGAAGGGTCTCTCCTGCAGATCTCATGGTCTAGGCAGGCTCATAGGGGGAGACAGCCTGGACCTAAGACACATAGGGCTCTGTAGGTCATAACCACTGGTTATGAATTGTGCCTGGAACCAGACTTGCAGGCAGCACAGTTACTGTATCAGAGTAACTTTTTAATGCTCTGGTTCTAGCCAACACTTTTTCATTTTCCTTCTTTTTCAAAAACATTAATGTGGTTATGGAAAGTGCAGATACAAACTCGTGAAAACAGCAGAACTTAGTATAGCCGGATACAGAGTGCTCCTGACATTAGGAGCGGGGGGGGGGGGGCATAACCAAACAGTTTGCTTTGTGGCTTTATCTAAACACCTTCCCAGAAAGTCCTGACCTGACCTGCTGTTTGTTGTTCAGAACAGATGAGGTGGCAAAGTTCTAGTAGCTGAAAAAATGGGGGAGTGACTCCCTTACAACCTACAAAATGTCACATGTGGCAGGGTGGGGAAAAGAGGTAGAGGCATGTCTCAAGGATCTGAACCTTTTTTAAAACAAACAAACAAACACTCTTTCCTTACTTTTACAAAGCCCCTAATCCTGTTTTTCTAGATCCACTTGCAAAATGCTGCTGGAGGCTACGGAGCCAGTCAGAAATTACAGTGAAGGTGTATGCTCAGCTGCTTTCCCTGTTCAGACATTGTTATGTGTTTCAAGTTGACTCTGACTTATGGTGACCTTATCATAGGGTTTTCCTTTAAGAGTTGTTCACAGAGAGATTGCCATTGCTTTTTTCTGAATCTGTGAGAGTGTGACTTTCCATGGCTGAGTGAGCATTCGGTCCTGGTTGTCCTGAGTCAAAGGGCTGGAATAGATGGGCAGAAAGAAGCTGTTCCGTCCTGCATTATCTGAAAGCAGGTTGAAATCCCACTTTTTGCACCGCCTAAACCAAAAGCAGCCTGAACACCCACAGGTTGTCCGCACCACACAGCATCAAACCACGCTGTGCAATTTATTTATTTTTTTGCCACCTGCCTACCATGCACAAACACCATCACACAAAGAGATCACCTCCAATTCCCTCCCTCTTCCTGTCCAGATGCCATTTCACTGGATGCCTGCCCAAATGATCAGCCACACAGTTGCATGTGTGATGCACCACAGTGGTTCATCAGTGTGCCCAGTGGCAAAGCATAATCATGGAGGCTCCCAATACACTTCACTCCATGCCCCCATTAGACTGTCTGGTTTGTGTATGTTGTAATTAAATCCACTGCATTACTGGCAATCACATTTTTGTTTGCTGCAATCCTGCACTTACAATGGACAGTTTATATACAAAGATGCACATTTTCTGCCTTGAGTTGGACTATCCCAGCTTCTTTTTGCTCCAGCTTTTAGCCCTTGAGCGCAGTTTCATTTCACTTCCCAACTGCTTTCGCCTTGTGCATCGTCTAAACACCCTGCCTCCAAAGCTGCTGGAAGCAGCTTTATTTGGCCAGTATAGACCATCCCATAGTCCAAGATTCAAACCACTACACTATGCTAGCTGTCCTTCAGATAGATTCCAGAACTCCACATGTTCACAATCTCACACATAGCAATTATACTCTTGACAAAACACTGCTCATTAAATTTCAAGACATTCATCTTTGAAAAAACCCTGTACTGTGTTTGTCTTGTTCTTGCAAATTCCGCACCTTGGAAAAGTTACCTTTTTTGGACTACTGTTTGCAAATTCCCTGAACTAGCATAGCTCCTGGCCATGCTGACTGGCAAAGTCTGGGACATGTAGTCCCAAAAATGTAGTATTTCTAGGTTCTAGGTTTCTACCTCTGATTGTCATATTTGTAAAAGTAAATTAATTTGTTACAAACACATACCACTTTCCCTATTATTTCTGTTAAACCTGTTTTAAATATGTTTAATAACTGGGAGCAGAGTTGTAGAAGGGTGGAGACATTTGACTCTTTCCTTCTTTTTGACACAAAGTAATTGGGAGCCAGTCTAGTGCAATGGTTTGAATGTTGGACTACAACTCTGCAAACCAGGGTTGGAATCCCTGCTCAGCCGTGAAAACTGACGCAAGTCACGCTCTCTCAGCATCAGTGGATGGCAATGGCAAACCCTCTCTGAAACTTGCCAAGAAAATCCAGTGATAGGTTTGCCTTAGGGCCAAAAGACACACAACAGCAGCAGCAAGGATTGCTAGGTGAGTGCTCGGCCTAAATGCCCTAAAGGCACCAGAACCTGTCTGATCTTGGAAGCCAAGCAGGTGTATCCCTGGTTAATACTTTGATGGGAGACTACCAAGAAATATTGAGAGTTGCAGGCTATATATCAGAGGAAAGAACTGGCAAAACTACTTCTAATAATAATAATAATAATAATAATTTTTATTTATACCCCGCCTTTTGCAGCTTACATCTAAAGCAGTACAAAACTCCCTCATAACAACAAATCATATAAATAAACACATTAACCCCCCCCCCTTAAAAATACATTAAATTCAAATGTCACTTAAAACCAAATATGAGAAACCAAGAACAAAGAATTAGAAACCAAGAACAAAGTTAAAAATAATAGGCAAAATAAGCACTCGGGGGATATGGGGGGGAAATATGGCGGGGGGCGGGAGATCAAGCTAACTGAGTAGTTTATTCCGGATAGACCTGCCAGAAGAGATCCGCCTTAATGGCTTTTTTAAAGCTTTCTAAGCTGGTTATCTGACGGATCTGGCAAGGTGTTCCATAATCTGGGAGCAGTGGCAGAGAATGTCCTCTGGGAGGTCACCATCAACCTAGTTATATCGGTTGAAGCAGGAACTGAGGGCGCAGGGCGGGTTGTATGGAAGTAGATGATCCCTTAGGTAGGTTGGACCCAGGCCATGTAGGGCTTTAAAGGTCATCACCAACACCTTATACTGTGCTCAGAAACCAATAGCCAAGCCAGTGGAGGGATTTTAAGACCAGTGTGAAACAATCACTCCTAGATGTTCTGGTGATCAACCTGGCTGCCATATTTTGTACTGGTTGTATAAGGAGAGTGCATTGCAGAAGTCAAGTTGTGAGGTTATCAGTGCATGTACTACAGTTTCTAGGTCCCATACTTCCAGGAAAGCCGAACCTGATAACAGGCGCTCCTGACTGTCGCATTCACTTGATCTATCAAGTAAAGCAACGAGTCCAGAAGCACCCCGACTGCGAACACAGTCCTTAGCGGAGAGTGTGACTGGAGGTTGCAACCCAATACTTGATTTGGGGCCCCCTACTGTGAGTACCTCCATTTTGTCTGAATTCAGCTTGAGTCGTTTTTTCCTCATCAAGTCCATTACCACTTCGAGACATTGATTAAGGGGAGAACCGCCATGTGCCATCTTAGCAGCTGACCAAGACATGGAGAAATATATATGGGTGTCATCACAATATTGATAACACCCAGCTCCATGTCTCCTGATGATCTCTCCCAGCGGCTTCATATAGATGTTAAACAACATCAGGGACAGAATGGCACCCTGCGGGGCACCACATTTTAGCTCCATTTTTGAGGAGTAACTGTCCCCGAGCGACACCCTCTGGAACCTGCCTGAGAGGAAGGAATGACACCACTGAAGTACAGTGCTTCCAATTCCTAACTCTCTCAGGCATTCCAGGGGGGTGTCCTGATCTATTGCAGGGGTAGGCAACCTTTCCCCTTTAAGGGCCGAGGGACTTTAGCTCCCAGAAGCCTCAGCCATGATGGCCAATAGTCCCATGTTGGCCAATAGCTCCTGGGATTCTGGGAGCTGAAGTCCCTCGGCCTTAAAGGGGAAAGGTTGCCTACCCCTGATCTATTGTATCAAAAGCCGCTGAGAGGTCCAAAAGCACCAGCTGGGTCACGCTCCCCATTGTTGCTCAGGAGCAGGTCATCTACCAGAGCGACCATGGTAGTCTCCACCCCATATCCAGGTCTGAAGCTGTTTTAAAATGGATCTAGAAAATCGGTTTCATCCAAAATCACTTGGAGTTGAAAGGTGACGGCTCGCTCGATCACCTTGCTCAAAAATGGTAAGTGGGAGACTGGTCTATAATTTTTGAAGGAAGAGCTAGGATTCCTGCACCAGCATCATTGCAATCCACCCTCAAATCTTAAGCAGCTCTGACTGGCACACAAAATCAATTCTGGCTGTAACTACAATGCACATTTCCTCCTGGCCAAATCCCACTGAATTCATGGTTCTTATTTGTGAGTAAACATGAGTAACAGCCAGTTGCACTTCTCCTGAAGGGCCCTTTCATGCTGTACACCAAGAGTGGAGTTTCCACAATGGACACCATAAAATCTATATGGAGGTCTGAAAAACCACAGCAAACAAATGGCAAGAAACATATATGGAGCCATAATCTAGAAAATTCCACATGTGTTTCAGTCAGAGCTCTTGTATTCCTATACTACCTATCAGTCCAAAGGCTTCCATGTCTATCCAGGGCACCTGGGTCAAAGGCCTAGATCCAGTTACTAAGCCCTACTAGAGCAGGCCCACCGAATTAACAGCTGAATAAACATTTATGTCAGAAAGGACTTGAAGACACACAACAACATCTAACTTTCAGATAGTCGCAAAGGTGCTGCAAGATCCCTTTGCATACTGATTTTCCAGAGGGCTACGACTCTGTCTTTAAATTTCTACCAAGAAAAGAGCATGTGCAGAGAGCCTTTGACTCCTGCATTGAACCAAAAAATGTTTTAATGTTTTATATGTTTAATATATTCAGTTATGAGAACCAGTGTGGCATAGTAGTTTGAGCATTGGACTACCAAGAAAAGAGCATGTGCAGAGAGCCTTTGACTCCTGCAATGAACCAAAAATGTTTTAATGTTTTATAAGTTTAATGAATTCAATTATGAGAGCCAGTGTGGCACAGTAGTTTGAGCGCTGGACTTTTACTCTGGAGGCCAAGATTCGAATCCCACCTTGGCCATGGGAATCCACAGGGTGACCTTAGGCATGTCACACTCTTTCACTCTCAGAGGATGGCAATGGCAAACCCCCACTGAAGAAACATGCCATGAAAACCCTATGATAGAATTGCCATAAATCGGAAGCAACTTTCAGGTACACAACAACAACAACAACAAATATTCAATTAGGTGTACTGCTGATTTGGTTTTGTTTTGCATTATGTCTGTGGGCGTGTAGTTTTTTTAAATTATATTTTAATACTTATTTGGGTATTTTATAATACTGGATAGTATATAAATGTTTCATTCTGCAACCGTTTGTAAAACACCAGGTACATGGATGGTGCTATATAAATAAACAATAAGAATGAGGGTAATAATTAGGAACAACTTCCTGACAGCAAGAACTGTTTGACAGTGGAACACACTTCCTTGGAGTTCTTTAAACAGACGCTAAATGGCCATTTGTTGGGAGTACTTTTATTGTGTGTTTCTGCATGACAGGAGATTGGATTGGATGGCCCTTGTGGTC